TCCTCAGCGTTTCCTCAGCCTTTCCTCATCCCTTCCTCAGCCTTTCCCCAGCCCTTCTTCAGCCTTTCCTCAGCCCATTCTCAGCTCATTCTCATCCCTTCCTCATCCCTTCCTCAGCCTTTCCTCATCCCTTCCCCAGCCCTTCCTCAGCCCATTCTCAGCCCATTCTCATCCCTTCCTCAGCCCTTCCACAGCCTTTCCTCATCCCTTCCTCATCCCTTCCTCTACCCTTCCTTATCCCTTCCTCATCCTTTCCTCATCCCTTCCTCATCCTTTTCTCATCCCTTCCTCAGCCTTTCCTCAGCCCTTCCTCATCCCTTCCTCATCCCTTTCTCATCCCTTCCTCAGCCCTTCCTCAGCCCTCCCCACCCCATTTTTACCCTCTGGCAGGGATAACACTTCCCTCAGTCCCAGAGTTGCACCAAATCCCTCCACAATATCCTCAATATTCCGGTGCTCCGCGGCGCCGTTCCACAGCCAGAGAGTGAAAGCTTTCAAACTATCTTAGGGAAACCATTCCTGGAATTAATTTTCCTTCCTTAACCATTGTTCTCCTGGCTCTGGAGCAGGCCTGGACTGCGACATCGACATCCCCAAGACGATCCAGATGGTGCGGCGGCAGCGCTCGGGGATGGTGCAGACGGAGGCTCAGTACAAGTTCGTGTACATGGCAGTGCAGCAGTTCATCGAGGCCGAGCAGAAGAGGCTGGAAGAAGAACAGGTGAGGGAATGTCCCCCTTGGGCTTGGCTAGAGGAGAAAACCATCCCTCCTTCTCTCTGGAACTCAAATCCAAAGTTTTAGAGGTTGGGAAAGACCTTTGAGGTCGAGTCCAACCTGTGATCAATCCCCGCCTTGTAAAGGGGATCCTTGGAAAGCTTTTTTCTCCACCTGCCTGAAGTGGGATTTTATTGAAGAAGAAGAGGTGAGGGAATGTCCCCTTTGGGCTTGGCTGGAGGAGAACACCACCCCACCTTCTCCCTGAAACTCAGATACGAAGTCGTTGAGCTTGGGAAAGACCTCTGAGGTTGAGTCCAAGCTGTGATCGATCCCCGCCTTGTAAAGGGGATCCTTGGAAAGCTTTTTTCTCCACCTGCCTGAAGTGGGATTTTATTGAAGAAGAAGAGATGAGAGAATGTCCTCTTTGGGCTTGGCTGGAGGAAAACACCATCCCACCTTCTCCTTGGAACTCAGATACAAAGTCGTTGAGGTTGGGAAAGACCTCTGAGGTCGAGTCCAATCTGTGATTGATCCTTGCCTTGTAAAAGGTCTTGGAAAGCTTTTTTTCTCCACCTGCCTGAAGTGGGGTTTTATTGAAGAAGAACGGGTGAGGGAATGTCCCCTTTGGGCTTGGCTGGAGGAGAACACCATTCCTCCTTCTCCCTGGAACTCAAATCCGAAGTCTTTGAGGTTGGGAAAGACCTCTGAGGTCGAGTCAATCCCTGCCTAGTAAAAGGTCTTGGAAAGCTTTTTTCTCCACCTGCCTGAAGTGGGGTTTTATTGAAGAAGAAGAGGTGAGGGAATGTCCCCTTCGGGCTTGGCTGGAGGAGAACACCACCCCACCTTCTCCCTGGAACTCAAATCCGAAGTCGTTGAGGTTGGGAAAGACCTCTGGGGTCAAGTCCAAGCTGTGATCGATCCCCACCTCGTAAAGGGTCTTGGAAAGCTTTTTTTCTCCACCTGCCTGAAGTGGGGTTTTATTGTCTTTGCTTTTCTCTTCCAGAGGAATAAAAGGAAAGAACGAGACTACTTGAACATTGGCTACCCTCCCATGGAAAAGGGCAGAGCCAAAGGGCAGCCCCCCTCCCCACGGACCCCCTCTGGGTAAGCTGAGGGTCTCTCCCGGTGTTTATCCTTTTCCAGAGTGTCTTTCCCACACCTGAATCCTGAGCAGTTGCTGGATATCGTGTGGGAATGGCCCAGATAAACAGGTGATCCCACCCCACTGTCAGCAGCAGGGATAGCACCACCTTGCACTCTTGGAAGAGGGAGGAGGAACTAGATCTTTATATATATAAAGATATAGATAGATATATATATAAATACCCCATTAGAGAGTAGTGTCCCGTTATCCTTGGCTCTGGAGAATGGCTCTGGACAATCAGCTGGAGAGGGAAAGTGTGCCACTGCCACTTTAATCTGAAGGAAGGTGAGACAAGAGCAGAGAGAGGTGGATTTGAGTCCATGTGGAGAGGGAGCATGGGCTAAGGAGTGTGAATTCCTTACATAAGCAGAGATAAATTACCCCAAATTATGTTTTTCCTCTTGCCCCAAGTAATGGGACCCCTGTGAGTTATGGTTGAAGGTGAGGGGTGGGGACACGTGTCATTTATAGGCTCCACTCCCAAGCATTTGAACCAAGGAGGGGTGGCCCAGCCAAAGGGGGAGAAAACAGGGAATGAGAACAGTGGGGAGGGCAAAAGGGAGCTTGGCTGGGCCATTCCCACAGCCCCTGGGCAAAGATCCAGAGTGGTGAGGCTGTTAATGACAGGGCTCTGTTTCCTGGCAGGGTGGATGAGGAGTCAGCTTCCGTCCTCTACGAGAACCTCAACATCAAAAGCCCGAAGGTTTCAGGGATGAGTAATTCAGGGCGATAGAGGAGCTGTGTGGAGGCTCCACAGGTAAGAATGTCCCCCTGGGGTCACCCCAGAGTGTCACCACGCTGGTTTGTGCCACGTCTGAGCAGCTCCTGTGCAGCTCAGGGTCGTGGTTTGAAACTCCCCCAAAAATCCAGTTTTCCAACCCTCCCACAATTTGTTTCCTGGGCACGTCTCAGAGGCTCTGCCTGCAAATGTGGGGTGGAATTTATGGGAGCCTAAAGATGTGGCCGTGGGAGAAAGGGGGTGGAAGTGAGATCTCAACAGAGAAACACGTTTATGATGTTCCCAGGGAGGGGAGGAAATCCCAATATTCTCAGCATTCAGTATTATCAATTAATAGCAGCTTTTCAGGCTGTTCTCTCAGGGAGCTGTGGGACTCTGGGGACAAGGCTGAGCTGTGTGTGCAGACACTCCCCACGCTGGGAACATCTCAGCTCTGTAACCTTCTTTTCTCCCAGTTACAAACCTGCCACCCTTCTCCCTTCTCCTTTTGGAATGCAGGATTTCCAGTGTTTACGTCCCCCCTTCCCAAGTTCTGCGACTGAGGACAGTTTTGTTTGCCTGTCTTGCCTTCCCCAAGCACCTTGGATTTGGAGAGAGGAGGGGAGAAGCTGCCCGAGAACCTGCACCTAAGAACATGCCTTATCCTAACTTATTCATGAGAAGGATCTCCTCCCACTCTCCCCCTGCCTCAGTAGGTTGATATTTATGTGAAAGTGCCTCTGGACATTCATTAGGGCATCAAGGCTCAGCTTCAGGGTTGTTTTGGTTTTTTTGGTTGTTTTTTTGGGTTTTTTTTACTGTTTTAATTTAAACTCCTTATTTTTTACACGCAAAAGGAACAGAAACAACTCTTTGCTTGAAGCTTTCCCGGGGTCTTTGCCCACTCAGGGCTTCAGTAAAACCTCAGCACTGTCACGTTTTCATTGGGTCGACCCATTTCTAAGCTACAAAGTGGTTTTAAGCCTAAATCCTGGAGTGGAGAGCACTGCCTGGACCCAGCTGATGCCTCTCCTCACACCTCCTTTTGGCTGTAGCAGTTCCCAGATTTCCTATGCAACGCTGCCAGAGCACATGGAATGATCCCTGCTCCGTGTGCAGCCTCCAAACTGCTCTTCCCAGTTCTCCAGCAGAGTTGAGAGGCACAGAGGGGCACCTCCATCCTCAATGTTGGGCTTAGTGAGGTCCCCCCTGGGTGCTGAGGAGCAGGGACACAGCTCTGGGCACTGGAGCTTTTATCCACCCCTGCTGAGAGCAGCCTGGGGGGATAATCCGAGCTGGAATTCTGGAGCTGGGCCTCTCTAAGCTTGATGCAGCTCTGCCACGACCTTTTTGCCACCCCTCTGTGACAAGGCAAGTGTTGTATCTGCTGAGTAGGGGTGTTGTAGGTGTGTTGGTGACCTGAGCAGTGCCAGGAAACGAGTGTGTCCCCGACTGGAGTGTCCCAGCTCTCCTAAGTCTTAGTGCTTCCCACAGTTCCAGCCCCAAGTCCTGCCAAAGAACCCCTTCCTGCAGGATCCCTCAGTCTGGAAGTGTGTTCTGGGGGGAGCCTTGGGTCTGAGGGCCAGTGCCTGAACCCCCAGAGCAGTTTGGGGTCTGAGGGTAAAATGCCTGAACCCCCAGAGCAGTTTTAGGTCTTAGGGTCAGTGCCTGAACTCCCAGAGCAGTTTTGGTTCTGAGGGCAAAGTGCCTGAACCCCCAGAGCAGTTTTAGGTCTGAGGGTAAAGTGCCTGAACCCCAGAGCAGTTTTGGATCTGAGGGTCAGTGCTGGACCCCCAAAGCAGTTTTGGGTCCCAGAGCCACTGCTGAACCCCCAGAGCAGTTTTGGGTCTGAGGAAAAAAATGCCTGAACCCCCAGAGCAGTTTTGGGTCTGAGGACAAAATACCTGAACCCCCAGAGCAGTTTTGGGTCCCAGGGCCAATGCTGAGCTCCCAGAGCAGTTTTGGGTCTGAGGGTAAAGTGCCTGAACCCCAGAGCAGTTTTGGATCTGAGGGTCAGTGGCTGAACCCCCAGAGCAGTTTAGGGTCCCAGAGCCAGTGCTGAACCCCCAGAGCAGGCACAGGGCTGATGTCCCAGTCTCCTCCTGCATCCCTGGAATGGGAAGGACTCTGCATGGTTGGGGTGTTAGAGCTGAGCCAAAGGGTTGAACAAATGCACAGTGACACACCTTGGCTGTAATTCCTGCCTGGTCTTTCTGCTCCCTTGTCCCAGGGGCAGGAGAACTGTTTATTTTTATTGCACTTCTAATAAATGTTGAATATTCTCAAGGCTTTTTTTTTTTTTTTGCTTTTTTTCCTTTCTTTTAAGCAGTTTGGGTTTTTTTGGGAAAAGGACTGACGGTGTGAACAGTGGGACACCCTGAATGTCCCCCTGGCCAAATGCTGCTGTTCAGGGCCCTGTTTTCCCTTCCTTTGACCATGAGGAGGGAGAGGTTCAGCTGTGTGTTACCTAAACCCTTCAGCCTTTATTTCCAAGTCCGTGGTGGGCTGGGGATGTGCAAAGGGACACCCCCCACAAGGATGCTGTGACAGACCACTGGGAACAGTTGGAACTGTGAGGACACTGGGAACAGTTGGAACTGTTTTCCACTGTAACAGTAGATTTTATGAGGCTGCAAATGTTATTTCCCTCTGCCCTGCCCTTGGGTCTCCTCAGTGGGAGCCAAGTGATAATGAAGATGTCATGACAAAGCACTTCATCCCTCCCAGTGCCTGTTTGCTGGGCTTAGTCCCAAACAAAAAGAGAGGAAAAATGGAAGTGCCTTCTCTGCTCGAAGCCTCGGTGAGTTACTTTTTTTCCAGGAACTCGCTCAGTTTGGTGCTGTGAAGATATGAAGAGTGGGTAGGATGAGACAAATGAGAATCCCTGGCAGATTTTCCAGGGCCTGGAGTGTTCCTGTGGCTGGCACAGGTAACACCAGCCTGCAGCTGAACCCCAGGGGAGGTGCAGGCACAGCACACGCAGCAGCTTCCCACAGGAATTCCACACAGCAACACACTTGAGCTGTTTCTGCCGTTGCTTCGGCCTTTTCTGTTCCAAATGAGATTATTTTTTCTGGAAAGGGAGGCTGGAAGCATCTGTCACCAGCTGGGAAGGAGGGAGAGATGAGCAGGCTCTGCAGCTTCTCATTTTCCAGGTCGAATCAGGTGAACACAGAGGGAAGTCTCACCTGGGACAAACCCCCCCCGATGGTGGGAGGAGTGAATTTGCAGGATAAATGTGCAGGATGGCCCAGCACTGGGATGGAGCAGAGCACAGCTGTGCCACCATGACCTGGGGATGCAGCTGGACTGCTGAGGGAACACCTCCCACTGCAAGGAAAAAAGGGATAATGGGGAGTAATTGCTGCAGACTGACACCTTGCATTGTATAAAACATAATTTAATACATACACATCATGGTACTCGCATACAATACTGTCTTAGATCCATGTCTGAATAGAAAATATTCATTGTGAGCCGCCTTCAGCATGAAGACTCTGCTAAATCACTGTCAGATCACTGCTTTAAATAAAAGTAGAGTGTCAGCCACTGGCCTGTGTCTTAATACTGACACATTGGAAGATTAGGAGGGTAAAGCTGCCGAAAGGTGGAACTTTTTGGCCACGGTGAGAGGTTCTGAGTGAAGTTTGCTGGTGCAGAAACTCGAGGGTCAGGGTGGTGCTGTGGCTGTGCCTCACAGAGCTCACCCCTGGGTGCAGAACCGCCTTCCAGGTGGGGATGAGTGATTTTTTTAAGCATCTTCGTAGGAAAAACGAGTAGAATGGCTACTTGAAGAGCTCCTCAGGGTGGTAACACGGGGAAGGCAGGCAGCAGGGATGGATCCGTGTTTTGTCAGCAGGAGGCAGCAGTTAACACCTCTCAGGCTCACTGAAACCTCTCCAGCGTGTGGAATAAGTGCGTTTTTCACCTGTTTATACAGCTCTGCCGTGTCTTTACCCTCCCAATCCCAGCTCCTCGTCGGAATAATCACGTAGATCCTTCAATTTGCCAAAAAAAAAAAATAGCCCTTTATTCCCTCGGGGAGCTCGAGGAACTGCACCCGCTGCCACCTGGTCTGTAGCCAAGGCAGCAAAACACACACACACGAGGGAAACAGTCCTGGAACCCTCCCCGTGGCTTTCCCAGCTCTGGTTTCCATGGAGAGTTTGGCGGCAGGATGCAGAGGCGGCTCCTCGGACCAGCACTCCGGGTTGGAGCAGCATTCCAGCGGAGAGCCCCCGGAGGCTTGGGCACGGGAGTGAGGGCAGCGGGGACGCAGGGGCTGCCCAGCAATCCAAGGAATGCTGGCGGGGCAGCAGGTCCTGCTGCTCCTCCCCTGAGAGCCGAGCAGAGCCAGGGGCTGCTACTGGAAAAGAGGGGGATCTGTCACCGCCTCCGCCGCCGCCGCGGTGGGTTTGGGGGGCAGGTACTCGGGCCTGCTCATGGTGGCCACAGTCCTGGTGAAGCAGCGCAGGTTGCCCGTCTTCAGGGCGCACTGCACGGGCCAGAGGATGATGCAGAAGAGGATGATGACGAGGGCGGAGAGGAGGAGGATGCGCTTCCAGTCGTCGCACACCTCGCAGCGGGACAACCGCCCCGCCAGCCCCCTCGGAGGGGCCTCGGGGCTCTCGGGCTTGCTCATGGCCACGTCGATGGAGATGCAGGACTCGGGGTTCTCGGCGTCGTCCGAGGCCCTGCGGCAGCACAGCTTGGTGCCCTCCATCCACAGCACCTTCTCCCGCTGCAGCTCCGGGGGCAGCGTGGCCAGCAGCTCCTTGCTGGTCTCCAGGGCGGGAGCGCCTTCCTGGGGGATGTTGGTGAGCTGCCTGCAGAAGGGGCAGGGCAGCAGGTCCTCGGGCTGGTTGGGGGGCAGCCCCGTGCTCAGGCGGGCCACGCATTCCAGGCAGAAAACGTGGGAGCACTGGAGCAGTTTGGGGGTCTTGAAGGTGTTGTCGTAGGTGTTGAAGCAGATGGAGCACTCCACGGGGGAGGTGGGCTTGGGAGAGGTGGGGTTGGGCGAGCTCGGGGAGCTGGTGGGGGATCTGGCCTTCCTCTTGCCATCTCCTGGGGAGGTCACCACGATGGGGCTGATGGGGATGGGGACTTCACCGGGAGAGGCCGGGGTCGGGCTGGTGGGAGAGTCCGGAGTGCTGGAATGCCACAGCTGGGAGAAGCACGACATGACGGAGCCCCGGGAGAGGAACAGAGCCCTGGGAGCCTCTGGAAGAGAGGAAAACCACAAGCCTTCATTTTAAACAAGGTGGAGACACCCCCGTCACCAGCTTTTAACCCCTTCAAAGGAACAAAGAGCGAGTTGGTGGCTTCTACTGCATCCAGAGGCGAGAAGCACACAGGGAGCCTGTGGGAAGCTGCGTCCCGAAGGTGAAGTCACAAAATCCTGCAGACAGAAGCAAGGAACCCGCAGAGATCCACCACGAGCCAAAGCCTTTTGCACCAGGACACCCTAGATCCCAGGTGGGAGCAGTCCTTCCCCCTGAATTCCTCCCTCTGGGCGCCAAGAGACACGACACAGACCTACCCCGGGTGGTGCTCCCCGACACCCGAGCAGGGAGGAGAGCAGAAGACTCCATGAGGGGCCCTCGCCCTGGCAATCTATTAGTCTGGGAGGCCCTCAGGGATTATGGTGGCAGCAAGAGCAAGGCCTAAGAGACAGATAACACTGTTCAGGCGTGGAGGGAAACAGGGGGAGTCTCTTTGGGGCGCTTCGTGCCTTGATCTGTGGTCCTGCTGCAGGTGAGTGAGGCACCACCTGAGGTTATATCCATCCATCCACAGCGGGATCTGAACTCCCCCGTGTCACAGGGGAACACAAGGGAGGGGAGGAAATGGTTTTATGGCACCGTCTGTTCCATCCTCACCCTCCAGCAGCACCTCTGGGCCCGTCACCGTGACACAGCAAGACGGGCAAGGCTGGAGGAAATGGCCTTGGGGGCAGAGCAGGGGGAATTCTCTGCTGCTTCCTTGTTGCTCTGGTTTCCTTAGGACACACAGCTCTGGAGGAGGAGTGACAGCACCAAAGCCTTGCTGCCCTGTGCTCCCTGGAGGAGCCTGGAGTGGCTGAGGCACCAATTCCAGCAAATAAGTTTACAAATTACTCCAATCTTTTCATCCACCTTCAGCTCGGGTTGTTTTACCCCAAACTCGCAGCCTCACCTGCAGCCACGCTCAGCTTTGCAGCTGCTGAGTGGTTTTACCCGAAAGCAAGTGTTTGGCTGGAGGAAATTCCTGGTGACAGCCCCGCTGCTGGATGCCCGGGGAACATTTTTTTGGGATGTGTCACCCAACTCACCAGGCTTGATTCTCCCTTGATGGGAGATTTGCTGATGACGAGCCAGAAACCTCCAGGTTGGGGCTGTAATTACAGCTCTGCAGCCCAGTGTGGACCAGAGCCGTATAAAGGGTAATTTAAGGGATCAGAAGGACCAAGTGTCCCTCACATTGCACTAAAATAAACCTCCATTATTTCAGGATGGGGAATTCTCCCCTCTCCCCTCGCAGCTGGTTCTGAAACCAGCCTTCAGAACCTCCCTTCTTTTCCTTCTCTTAATCTAAATGTTAAATTTGGTGAAGCTTCTCCTCGAGTTAAATTTTGTGCACTTTGCAGCGAGTTGGAATGGTTTCCAATGTCATTTTTTTTTTATTCCTGGCTCCAGATCCCCGTGCATGTTTAACACAATCTGGCAGATGCTGATGAATTACAAATCCAAGCCTAAGCTGGCACAGAGACGAGGAAAAACCCCTGGGTTTCTTTATTTGGTTTTTTTGGTTGGTTTGGTTTTTTTTTTTTTACTAAATTTCTGTTTTGCAGAACTCCATCCCCTTACACTCAGTTCTCTGCAGTTCCTGAGTGTTTCTCAGAGATTCTTCTGAGCAGTAAAACCAGTGGCAGGAGGTAACCCCAGAAAGAGAGAGCCTGGGCTTGCACAAGCTGCGATTTCACAACCTGTGTTATGAAATTAAAGCTGTTCTGTTGAGGTTTTTTTTTTTTACTGCCCTGTAACGTGTCAGAGCAACATCCTGATAGTAAACTTGAAGTTTACTCACAGCAGCTGCTTTTAAACCAAGGGACAAGTCTTTGCCTGCGTTTTAACTTCCCTAAACAGGGTTGTGACGCTGTAGATGTGTCTTAGTTTTAAATAAATTTAGAGGCTGGTTATTTTTATCGACACCTCGGTGTTATGTGGCACCTGGATCAGGTAATTACACAGATAATTGAATTAAACTGGGGAGTTGAAGAGTAGGGAACAAAGCTGAGGCACGAGACAGGTTGGGTTCGTGCTCAGCCTCCCCCCTCTGCTTTTGTCTTTTTAACAGAATTAATTGGGGTTTGGGGGTTTTGTTTGGTTTTCTGATTTTTTTTTCATTCAGACCCCCACAGTCTCTCCCAGACCCTGCTGCTATTTATCTCCTTTTACCAAATATTTTTACCTGGGCTTTCCAGAAACTTCAGGAACACCAGCAAATAATAAGAAGAAACACATCAACTCAGCAAATAAACAAAATGAAGTGAATAAATAAAACTAACTAAATAAATACAACGGAGTAAATAAATAAAACTAAGTAAATAAATAAAACTAAGTAATTCAGGACTTCTTACAAGTTCTAGAAAACTTCTTTCTACCCCATAAAACCAAAGAGATCACAAGGGTTCTGCTCCATCAGGCCAGTGGCCAGCACTGTTCTGATGGTCCCCTGATGGGATCTTTAACTCAGAGCAATGAACCCCCAGCAAGGCAAGAGCTGTGGAGCAGATTAAAGTCAATAAATACCTGTTCAGGGTGCTGTTAGAAGGAGGAAAGCATGTTCTGGGCTCTTGATTTCTACCCCTGAAGAGTCTTCTCTCCAGAGGGGCTTTTTTTGTGTTTATAAAGTGTCCTCTTGGTGTCCCAGCTCCGGGTGGTTTTTCCTGGCAGGACAAGTGACCTCCAGGAGCTCCCCGTGCACGAGTGGCCCCGGCTCTGCAATCCAAGGATCTTTTATACCTTCCTGTCTGGAGGTGACTTTACCTGCTCCACCTGCCCTTCCCCATCCCCACTGAATCATTCCCTGGCTCCGAGCGCTCCCGCTCCGGCCGGTTCCTGTGACAAACAGGGCAGGCTGGAATGCTCCTGATAAGGGACACCTGCCTGGGAGAAATGGTTGGTTATTCCTCTTCCCTGACCCTCTGCTCGCTGGTAAATTCTAGTTTGGAGGGGTTTTAATCACCTTCCATAACCTGTTGTTATCTGGGTTGTTTCCCGGTTGCGTTTTCGCCTCCCGAAAGAAAAATTTGACCCCAAAATTTCGCCTCAAAACTTCTCCTCAACACACAGTTATTCCTCTCTTATTGTGTCCCCATAAAACCTAAATAATTTGGAAGTGCCTGATGGCAGAAATTGGATTCTGACAGTCACATTTCTTGTGGTTGGCTGAGGGAAAAATAATGGTTGTGATAGAAAAACCAGTATAATTCGAAAGTTTGTAAATTAATTGAACCACTCTACACACTCATCTGCCTGCTTTGAGCCCCTCTGAATGGACTGGCACAGAGAGGGAATTTCATTCTTTGCAGCTTAATATTTCTTAATATTTTTCTTGTGGAGAAATATTATTCCACCTGCAAAGCTTGTGTGTGGTTCAAAGGACATCAGCCCACGGTCCAGAAAAAGAACCAGCAAATTTACATTTGTGGGCAGATAAGGACACAAAAGAGGAGTGGGGGGAGAAGCAAACATTCAGCATTTATTCCAGTCCTCATTTGCTGCAAACACTATTTTTCTTTGTTCGGTTTCTCAACAAAACCAACACTCATAAATAACTGGATTTTTTTCAGGCCGGTATCAGGAAATGCCTCCTTTAAGAATGGGTGAAAAACATCCTGGAACTGAGCGAATCTCTTGGGACAGAGAACTGTCTAAATCCCACTGATTTTAGGGGCAGTCAGATAGAATTGGCTTTGGATTCAACATTCCTCTATTCCAGGTCACACCGTCCAAGGAGCTAAATAAGAGAAGTGAGTTGAAATCACCAAAGCTTTAGGATTAATTATGTTTTAGGATTAAAATTAAGGTTCCTGGGTCCTTCCACAGCATCATTCTCCAGTGGATTCCTGCTGAGCTCCACGGGTGGTTCTGGAAGACAAACACCCAGTGGAGAGATGCAGGTTTGGACTAAACTTTCCCGGATCCGCATCCCAGAAGAGCGTGGGAATGACAATCCCTGCAGGAGGCTGAGCTGGCAGCACCTCACAGAGCACTCCCGGCCTTCCCAGGTATTTATCCCTCACTCAGGGATGAGTGAGGCTGGCAGCAGGCACTGCCTGCAGCTGACACAGCAGGATGTTGGATGAACAGATGGGAATGAGAGTTTTAGGAGTGTCGCTCCCTTAGTCATGGCAGGAGCACACTGGGCTCGGAGTTAACACCATTTCAGTACCAAGGCAGGGGGAGGATCCAAAAATCTGTGATTTGGGTCCAGCTGTTTCCCCTGGAAGTCAGTTGGACAGCAAGGATTTAATTTTTAAAGCAAGGCATGGGTGACTTTTAACCCTTTCTCCACTGGCAGGGGCAGAGTTTCAGCACTTCCAAGGCTGGTTTCCCACCAGGAATGGGCTGAATCCAACCCAGGAGCTGAGAGCCTGGGGCACACTGGGCTCAGAGTTAACATCATTTCTGTAACATGGCAGGGTGTGTTATCTCAGGAACACGCTGGGGATCCAAAAATCTGGTTTTGGGTCCAGCTGTTTCCCCTGGAAGTCAGTGGGACAGCAAGGACTTAATTTTTAAAGCAAGGCATGGGTGCCTTTTAACCCTTTCCCCACTGGCAGAGAGGGATTGCTGAACTGCCACGTGAGTCAGGGGCAGAGTTTCAGCCCTTCCAAGGCTGGTTTCCCACCAGAAACGTGTTGAATCCAACCCAGGAGCTGAAAGCCTGGGGCAAACTGGGCTCAGAGTTAACACAATTTCAGTACCATGGCAGGGTATGTTACTTCAGGAACACACTGAGGATCTAAAAGCTGTTTTTGGGTCCAGCTGGAAGTCAGTGGGACAGCAAGGATTTAATTTTTAAAGCAAGGCACAGGTGCCTTTTAACCCTTTCCCCACTGGCAGAGTGGGATTGCTGAACTGCCATGTGAGTCAGGGGCAGAGTTTCAGCACTTCCAAGGCTGGTTTCCCACCAGGAATCCAACCCAGGAGCTGAGAGCCTGGGGCAAACTGGGCTCAGAGTTAACACCATGGCAGGGTGTGTTACCTCAGGAACACACTGGGGATCCAAAAATCTGTTTTAAGGTCCAGCTGTTTCCCTAGAAGTCAGTGGGACAGCAAGGACTTAATTTTTAAAGCAAGGCATGGGTGCCTTTTAACCCTTTCTCCGCTGGCAGGGGCAGAGTTTCAGCCCTTCCAAGGCTGGTTTCCCACCAGGAATCCAACCCAGGAGCTGAGAGCCTGGGGCAAACTGGGCTCCTCCACGCTCCTCCCTCTCCAAGGGCTGGAAGACTCGGGATGACGAGCAGGGCTTGGCTCCCAAAAGTGAGTGGGAGGTTTGCTGTTATTTTTATCCTCTGCTCGGAGGGAGCAGAGCGAGCACAGGCAGGAGCTGCAGCTGAGCTGGGGTGGATCCCAGGGCACAAAACCTCGGTGTTTGTCCCAAAAGGAGCAGTGGAGCAAAGCAGGAACAGCTCCTTGGTTGTAATACTGTTATTTCCTTGGACTCGCTCCACGTGCACGGCTCAGGTGCTTCTCCAAGGGATTCCCCTGGGCAGGGATGTGCAAAGAGCAGCCTGAAAACACTTGTTCCAAATTGATTTTCCACGCAGGAATGAGGATTCTGTGGCTGGAACACCAAGATGAGAGGGAGGAGATTCAGATCCCTGCTAGGAGCGCTGGGATCTTGAGCAAAACACTGAATTTTCACCCATTTCTGGGGCCCGTTTCCTAAATAAACAGATCATTTTAATTCATGCAAGAAAAGGAATTATAAGCCTTGATTTTTGGTCTTGGATTATGGATTTTGATGGAACCTGGGAGGGATGGGTGTTGCACAGGGCTGGTCACAGCAGCTCCAGGCAGAGAGCTCCTGTAGGACCCCACCTGCAGCGAATAACTGGGATTGAAACATCGACACTCTCAACCATCAGACCCTTCCCACCACCACCTCTCCTCATTTTCCCAGCACCAGTGACCACTGCCACCTCATCCAGGGGTGTTGGTGAAGGGATGAGATCTTCTAAAGGGTTTGGATTCTTGCCAGGGGGATTTAGGAATGTTTGCAATGAAAAATATCATTTCTAACAGCAACTGGTTGAGGACAGGACCATTTAAAACTTGCAAGCCAGTGTAAAGAGAGGCAGACTAATAAAAACAGATGGCTGATTATATGGGTTTAAGCTGTTTCCTTGGCTTGTCTTTACCTCCACCACTGCCCAAGTATATAACTCTTTTTATCCTTTGTGTAGTTAGTTTATCTTATCTCAGCTGATAAGTTAAACCACCCAGTAAAATGGGTGGCAAGAAAAGTCAAAATGCACCAAGCACTGAGCAGCAAAGTTCCTCTCTTCCCTTTCTCCCCTCATCCAAGGCTGGCTGGTTTATTATGTCCCAGCAGCACCTCTGGGGATGCTGCCTTCTTGGTCATGTTTTGGGGGTTTTTTTACAGCTCTGATTTGTGGGGGCTGTGTGTGAAGCCTGGAAGGGCTTTAGGAGGCTTTTTGTGCTGGGAGAAACCTCAGGGAGCAGTTCCTGGGGCACAACAGCGTAAAGAGCCAAAGCAACCCCTCTGGAGCCTGTGCAGGACAAAATTCTGACCTCTAGTGCTATTCCTGGCTGCACAAGACACAGGGGCTCAAGGAGCTGCAAACAGGGCAAAAATATCCAGATGTGCTGGTTTGAACTGGGGGAGACCCAGCCTGGTTAAAGCCAAGCCCCTGGTGCAACAGGGATGGAAGTGTCTGAGGGGTTAAATGCAGAGCTCATATTTAGATTCTATTAGGTTATATTTTTCTTAATTATATTTTCTGTTAGCTCACCCATTCACGTGCTCCAAGCCAGTGAAAGCATACACACACATACACACATCAGGTCTGTGGGTTTTGAGCCAGGTCCAGCTCAGCAGCTGAGCTCCCCACCTCCCACTTATCAGCTGCTAATCAGATGCAGAAGAAGTGGGGACCTGGTACTGCCTGAGTTTTGCTGATAAACAATTCCTTGGCCCGGAGCTAGTGCTGCTTTTTGATCCCGCAGCTGTTCCTCCGAGTCAGGAGGGCTGATGCTCCGAGCAATTACCGCTCCGGGGTGGTAAACAGCTCCATTAAGTGATGTTTCCCATCACCGAGCTCTTTTATTTGCCTGAATTCACGTGCGGGCAGCTCCTACCCGGGTGTTGGCTCTGAAGTCTCATCATTGCTGCAGTCGATTGTGCCCGGGCTAGACTGGGCTATTTAAATTCCAAAGGATGTGTTTGGGTACTGCCAGGAAAGAGCCAGTGGTGAGTCATCAGATAAGCTGGCTGGGAGCTCGCTGTGGGATAGTTTTAATGTAATTATATTTTACCCTTCTCTAACTGTTTCTATCAGACAATCTCAAGGTACCTGATAGACAAAGTGATTTGAGCCTTCCAGTAACTTGTGTTTGTCCAACCATGTTTCCAGCTGGGCACGTTTTACAGCCCAGGCAGTAAAAGAGAAATGATTTCTGGGCAAGTGGTGCCCCTTGGCAGGGCAGAGTCACTTCCCAGAGCAGAGGGATGAGGCTTTGAACAGGTGATGGGGTGCGAAACACCCCGGAGTTGTGATAAATCATGGATGGGTTTGGGTTGGAAGGGACCTTCAAGGGTCAGGGAGTGTGGCAGGGACATCTTCCCCTATCCCAGGTTGCTCCAACCTGGCCTTGGATGCTTCCAGGGATGGGGCAGCCACAGCTTCTCTGGGCAACCTGTGCCAGGGCCTCCCCACCCTCACAGGGAAGGGTTTCTTCTTGACATCTCATCTAAACCTCCTCTCTTTCAGTTTGAAGCCATTCCCCTTTGTCCTGTCACTCCAGAGTCCCTCTCTGGCTTCCTTGTAGTCCCCTCACCTCCTGCAATATCCACTAATGCATCCTGACACAGATTTAGAGCAAAACTGCTCCTGTTTGAGCCACAGGTGACTCCTGTCCCCTAAGTGATGCCCACCTTCTTGGTTCAGGCACCAAGTGCCTCCACAGTTTAATCCCCCTGGAACACTGGATCCCCCTGGCACTGGATCCCCCTGGAACACTGGATCCCCCTGGAACACTGGATCCCCCTGGCACCCAGCTTTGGGCTCCATTTCCTGCAGTCACCAGGAAAGCAGCACGATTAGATAATCATTACAAGGGGCAATTTCCCTGGCACTCCATGGCTCAGGTGACTGTCACACCTCGGGGCTCAGTGATTCAGCTACTCATGGCCAGCTGCTCAAATAGCAGAAATAGCATCCATTCCCCAGATATAAGGTCACAGATCCTTTTTTTGTGTGTGTGTGTTTTTTTTATCTTCTAGCCCATCATTTCTGAAGGAGTAAGTGACTTGGACTGAGGGCTGAATTGTGGTTTATAAATCATTGTTCAGCCCTGAGACCACGACTAGGAGGGCTGTTGGCTTTCCAAGTGTGCTGATTCCATAGTGGAAAGTTGGAGTGGCTCAAAGGAAGAGGAGTTTCCCATGGACCTCCTTGGGGGGATGTTAAATCATCCCAGGAGCTGCAGCTCCAGCTCCTTTAGGGGCTGTGAGAGGCTCAAATGTAGCTGATCTGAGATCCAGCACTGAGGAAGCAAAGGAATTACCCTCCTAAACATTAAGGGGATGCTCTTCCCAAGGAGCAGGAAGGGAACTGTTGTTGCCAGCCTGGAATGAGCGATCCAGAGGCAGCTGCAGCCATGGCATGTTGCTGAGGAGGGAGAGTGTCATGGAATCACAGGATCATTTACATTGGAAAAGACCTCCAAGAGCATCAAATCCAATCATTCCCCCAGTGCTGAGCCCGCCACTGAACCACGGCCCCAAGTGCCACATCTCCAGGTCTTTTGAAGACCTCCAGGGATGGTGATTCCACCACTTCCAATGCCTGACCACCCTTTCCAGGAAGACATTTCCCTCCAATATCCAATCTAAAGCTCCTCTGGTGCAACTTGAGGCCGTTCCCTCTTGTCCTGTGGCTTTGGAGCAGAGCCCGAGCTGGGTACAACCTCTTTCCAGGGAGTTGTAGAAAGCAATAAAATCCCACTTTTTCTTATACCTAAAGCCTCCTTTTGCCCAGGCTGAGCAGCCCCAGGTCCCTCGGTGATGGGCAGAGCTCACAGGCTCTCACCGACACCTTAATTGGCGCTTAATTGCCCTGGTGATTGTCCCGGCTCGTGTTCCTGCAGAGTTACTCACTTCCCGGTGACATCACGAGCTTGGGAAACGGCCTGTGACGTCAGAGCCGAGGAGGGAATGCCTGCAGGGACCTCCTGCTGCTCCTCTCCGGGAAACTTTTCCTTCCCTAACAATCCACCTGCCCTCTGCTGGCAAAATTCCCCCTTTCCCCGCGAGCGGGATGCGCTCCGCTGGATCCGCACCTTTGGATTCCTCCCCCCCCCCGCAGCAGGAGCGGTTTGAGCTGCCCAGAGACACATCCAGGCAGGAAGAGGGGGGGTTGGGATGTTAATTCATCCCTCCAGGGGCGTTTTTTGGGATGCCAGACCCGAATTCCGGCGCGTGGCTCCCTAAGGAAAGGACCTGCTGGTGGAGGTGAGGAGGGACGGGGTTCCCTGTGGTGTCTGTGGGTCACACCCCGAGAGTTCTCCACCAGCACCGACCTTTCCAGGTTACAAACAGCACATTCTGAGTGGATGGATCCCTTTTGCTTTCTTCACCCCACGGGAATCCACCGCCCTGAGATAGATCTGATGATGGACAAACTTTCCCAGCATCCTCCAGGGACAAGGGTGACCTTAAACTCTTTGTTTCCGTCTTGTTGATGGCATTGAGCTGAAGGAGGAGAGGTTTAGATCAGATTTTAGGAAGAAATCCTTCCCTATGAGGGTGGGGAGGCCCTGGCACAGGTTGCCCAGAGAAGCTGTGGCTGCCCCATCCCTGGAAGTGTCCAAGGCCAGGCTGGATGGGGCTTGGAGCAACCTGGGCTAGTGGAAGGTGTCCCTGCCCATGGCAGGGGGTGGAACAAGGTGATCTTCAAGGTCCCTTCCAACCCAAACCATTCCATGATTCTATTCCCTAATTCTCCCTGCTCCAAGGATGAACAATCAATCTTCTTTTTTTTCCCCCCCAGGTTGGGGGAAGTCCCTGTGTTTGACCTGAGAAATAAATAAGGACACTTTTCCCTGAAACAAGCAGGACAGGGGACATGGCAACCCCTGGAATTTCCAGCTGCAGGAATGACACCATCACACCTCGGCCTGAGCACTGAGCTCGGGAGAGGGCTGTGGGATTTGTCCCTCTGCAGATAAGGGGAAGGCAGAATCCTTTCTGTGTGTGTGATAAAACAGGGGAACAGGACAATATTTGCATTCCCAGTGCATTTCCCATCTGTTCCTGCAACACTAACGCTGCTTTACATACCAAATGCAAATGTTTGTTGGTTTGGGGTTTTTTTTTTTAACACTCAATTCCTTCAAGCTTAATTCTCTGCTAAACAAGAACTCCTTGCAGGGAGTTCAGTGGGAAGTGAGGATGTTCCCTCTGGGAACAGCCCTTTGGTTCTGCCCAGCCCAGCCTCGTGCCCTGCCACTCATCCTGAGCGAAAAACTACAAGAGGAGGAGAAGGAGCTCTTTGAAAATTGAACTCTAATTGCTGCCTGTTCTGCACAGAAATCCCCTGCCTGGTTAACAGGATGAAAGATTAAGTCCTCAGATCATGGATCTGAGGTAGCAAAGCCTGAGAGAGCTGGTGCAGAATTCCTTTTTCGAGGATGGCATGTGGATATTCCATGTCTCCAGACCCCACCTGTGCCTTGGAGATCCCTCCCACTGCTGCTCCACATCCATGTGATACATCAGGGAAGGGGTTTGAACTCTCTTCTTTAGCCAAGGACCTTTTTTGTGAGAGGGAAATATCTCCCTGAACAAACTCAGCTGGTGTTGCAGGCTTCCCATCCCTCAGGAATTACCCAGGCAACACCTCCCTGGAAGGAGGGGAAGGTCAATACCTGGATTCAGTTAGTCCTCAAGTAAATATAGTCCTCACTGATCAGAGCATGAAGTGAGAGATGAGCTCCTCTGGGGAGACTTTGATGTATTTTTAATGTACCTGCTGCAGTGGTTTAGCAGTGGATGTGACATTAACAGCTACATTTGGGCACCAATTTGCTTCTCCCAAGTGCAAACTTAAATATTTGGACAACCAGCACGGAATAAATAATTAAGCTCCTCTAATCCTACTGGCCCCTCTTGCTAATGAGCAATATTGTGATATAAAGTGATTTTTTTTTTTTTTTTGAGGAACAAGCTTCTCCCGAGGGCTTTTCTTTTCCACACCTTGTGCCTCCTGACCTGTGAACAAGCCTAAGTCAGGCTTGACACAGTTTTCACCGGGGAAATAAATCTTGGCTGCTCTGCAGGTTGTCAGGAGGGGGACAGGTCTCTGTGTTCTGAAAGGGCTTTTGATCCAAACTGACACCGGGGAGACAGAGACGAGGGAAAAACGCAGGAATATCTCAGTGAACTGTGACAGCGGGGACAAAAATGAAGCAGAAAACAAAGCCTGTGTCTCCTGCTCTGCAGATTTGAGAGGTGCACAAGGGATTCATCCAGTCTGATGCACATACAGGGATGCTCCAAGCGTTTCCTTAGGGAATTCCTGTTGCTACGGAGCACTTTAAACGCAGAGCTTCGGATTCCACCCCCAGGAAACAGAAATCCAGCTCGTTTCAGCCTGGCTTTGGTTTTTAAACGAGGTTTGTAACGAGGTTTTTGTTTACAACGAGCAGTCGAAACTCCTTCTGCCCTCCAGGTGTCACCTTGAGCGGGGCGGCCTCCGGCAAGTGCCACATCCCGGGATTGTAGGGATGGGATTTCAGGGCCGTGAGTGGGTGTTTGGGAAATTGCTGGTCCTTCTGCTCACGTCCTGTGTGTGCAGGGAGGCACGGGACAGGTTCCCAGCCCTGGATAAACACCCCCTGCCTTCCCTCTCCAGGTTCCTGGTCCCGGATAAACCCCCCCTGCCTCCCCTCTCCAGGTTACTATTCCTGGATAACCCCCCCCTGCCTCCCCTCTCCAGGTTCCCAGCCCGGGATAAATACCCTCTGCCTCCCCTCTCCAGGTTCCTGATCCCGGGAAGTAATTTGCATCTTTTAATATAAAGCAAGGAGAGGGTTAAAAAAATTCCAGATGAGAAGTGATTAACAAGCTCCTGCAGGTGTTCCCATTGAGTGGGTGTTAATCTGGGAGGACTGGAGCATAAATAGGAATTCCCAGAGCTGGGAAGGATTTTTTTCATCCTTATTTTGTGTCTTTTTCTTTATGGACTGAAGACAGGACAGTGCTAATCAAGCTCTGGGAGATTAACTTGAAGAAAGTGAGTTGTAATTCTGATTTTGACATCCATTGACATCTTCTGTGACAGGCTGGAAGCTGGAGGTGACTTTGGTTTTCTGGAAGTTATGTCACTGGTGGAAAAGAGCACAAAGTTGTCATGACTGATCCTTCAAAGAGAATTTCCTTTCTTCTCTGTGTATTGGGAAGCAAAACTCGGCGTCCAGGTTATTTTCTATAAGCCTCCCTTGCCATAAAGCTGAACTAATTTCAATCAAACCCTCAGTTTTTAAAGCCAGCCGTGGATTTCAGACAACGGCTGAAAAGCTGAATTTGTGGCAGGCTGGGAATGCAAAAGTGAGGGTTTGTAGGAGTAGTAATGGCTTTTTTCTGGAGAAATCCTGTTCAGCTTCGAGCTGGGAGAATAACCGAGAGAAAATTGCTCTGAGCTTTAACGGAGAGAGGCAGAGATAGGGATCTGAGCCGGGCTCTTCTCGAACGCGGGGGTAATGACTGACTCGCAGAAAAGCAATAAAAAAAACCTCCTTCAGGCTCCTTGTTCTCTCTGCAGCTCCTTGTTCTCTCCGCAGCTCCCCGCGCGTGCCTTTGGAATTAGGCTGCGAATTTCCTGGATGTGAGAAAGAGCTTTACAAAAGCACGAGCCTCCCCCGGGGGACGGTTTGATGAATGGCTCAAAGCTCGGCGGTCCTGGAAGTTCGAGAGAGAGAGAGAGAGAGCCACCAAATTCCCCAAATTCGAGGCTGGCCAGGAGCCTGCAGGCAGGAAATCCTGTTGCGTAAATCTGCTTCCTTGTGGCTTCCTGTGCTGGAATTTTTTGTTCGGGAACAATCCATCCCTCAGTGCTGTGAGGGACTGAGGGAGCTGAGGTGACCAGGGATTGTCCCCCTGTGCTGGGGCACCTTCAGGGCTCTGTCCAGCTCTGGGCCCCTCAGTTGAGGAAGGAGATGGAGGGGCTGGAGCATGTCCAGAAGAGCTGGGGAAGGGTCTGGAGTATCCTATGAGGAGCTGGGGGGGCTCAGCCTGGAGAAAAGGAGGCTCAGGGGGGATCTTGGCCTCCACAACTCCCTGACAGGAGGGGAGAGCAAAGGGGAGGGTCAGGCTCTGCTCCCAGGGAACAAGGGACAGGAGGAGAGGGAACGGCCTCCAGCTGTGCCAGGGGAGGGTCAGGTTGGACATCAGGAGGAATTTCCTCATGGAAAGGGTGGTCAGGCATTGGAATGCTGCTCCAGTGCCCTTTCCAGAGGGGCTCCCCTGGAAGGTGCCAGGAGAGAGAGGGGACGTGCTGGGACTTGCTGGGTTGAGACGCCTTTCGAAGGAGAGGTTGTTTGTTCAAGGATGGAAAGTCAACCAGGAAATTCAGAGTTGAGTTTTTCCTGGTCTGAACTGGCCCAAAAAATGCCTGGAGAAAAGGAGGCTCAGGGGGGACCTTCTGGCTCTGCAACTCCCTGACAGGAGGGAAGAGCTGGAGGGGGTCGGGCTCTGCTCCCAGGGAACAAGGGACAGGAGGAGAGGGAACGGCCTCAAGCTGTGCCAGGGGAGGGTCAGGTTGGATATCAGAAGGAATTTCCTCATGGAAAGGGTGCTCAGGCCTTGGAAGGGGCTGCCCAGGGAGGTTTGGAGTCCCCACCCCTGGAGGTGTCCAAGGAAAGGCTGGACATGGCCCTCAGTGCTCTGGGCTGGGGGACAAGGTGGGGATGGGGCACAGGGGTGACTCTGATCCCTTCTCCAACTTTAATCATTCTGTAATTCTGGATTTTTGCTGTGTCTGGGTTTAGTCTTTGCTTGCCTGTTCTCTTGGGTGCTTTCCAGAGAGGGTGCTCAGCCATTGGAATGGGCTGCCCAGGGAAGTGGTGGATTCTCCATCCCTGGAGGTTTTTAAGGTGAGACTGGATGTGGCATCAGTGCCATGGGCTGGGAACCACAGCGGGGTTGGATCAAGGGTTGGACTTGGTGATCTCAGAGGTCCCTTCCAACCCAGCTGATTCTGTGATTCCATGATTCTATGACCTCACCCCCATTCCCGTTATTTTTCCAGCCCCTGATCCATTCCAGCACTTCTTATTTCTGGGACACCTGTGCAATAATTCCCTGAGCTCCTCCAAACTCCTTTGGCTGCCATCGATTTTTGGGCTTATCAAGCCAAATGAAAAAACTCCCCACCGAAGCAGAAATGCAATTTACTTTTTAATAAACCTGAAGAGGAAGTCAATATATCACCGAGAACTCTCTTTTTCAACAGGATAGTAATTAAAGCTATATATTACTGGAAGCATTAAAGATTTAATACACTTTTAGGTATGTTTATAAAGCTTATGTTTAATCTTTGGACTCGCAGCAAGAGCCTCAAGAGTGATTTCCCCACCCTTTTTTCTCCCTCCCTCCCCTTCTCCCCGTGTCTAAGGTATAGAAGATGTTTGCAAAGCCATGGAAATGGAGCAACATTTAAACCTCATTAGCTGTAATTCGTATAATTAGCATGTTTGATAAATTTGCCTTCAACTAAACACGCAGAAATAAAGGTTTCATTAAGAATGATGAATATTTATGTTGTTTTTTTTTTTCACCTCCTACCTTTGCTTGCTTTACAAATATTTGCATAGGAAGACACTGGTTTGCTTTGTAATAAAGGAGAGGAAAAAGGAATCTAGAATATTACGTGTCTAATTTGCAGAGGACAACTTCTAGTCTAGAAAAGTTTAGTTCACAGGCATCACAAAAAGCCAGGAATTTTTTCCATGTCCACACAGGAATGGTTTAAGTGGAAAGGGGGATATTTGAGAGAGAGGGCAAAGGCAAGATAAAGGTGAGGAGCAACTCCCTGCATGTCTAGATGGAGCCTCCAAGGTTTCTAATTTGAATGCCACAACCTTTTTGTCAGCCTGCCACTGGCAAAACATCTGATTTAAATGAGGGGTTGACTCAGAAATGCCAAATTTAAATGGATATAAATGCCATTTATGTGCTCCAAAGTGGGAGGGGGATAACTCTGGAATGGGGGAGGGTGCTGGTCCTCATAGACATGGAAAACAGCAGCAGGTTAAAGGGGAAAAAGAAACCACATGAAAAGCAAAGTTAAGGGCAGACCTGGCAGAATAAACTCGTGCCCCTGGTGCAGGTTTGTGGTTTGGAATTACTTACAAAGGATTTACCTCTCAGGGTGTCCCTGAGGAAAATGAAGATATTTCACTCCTGTGCAGGAATTCTTCTTAAAGGATTTTACACCTCCATTAGAGATAAAAAAAAAAATAACAAAAAACAAGGGAAGGTTGAAAACACTGAAGAGAACAAGTTTTCAAGCTTAATTTTGCACTCCAACAGAAGCAGGAACTACTGAGGAACTACTCAGGCCAAGGCTGGGGGTGTTTTACAACAGCCCTTGGGTTCCCACAGGTGCCAAGGAAACTACGAGCCCAGTGTGTGGCAGCACTTTTGACAGTAAATACAGCATTTATTTCCATATTCTGAACCCAAAGAAGCTTTCCCATTGATATTTTGTGCTTCTGGCCTTCAAGTTTTTAGGGTTGTGTTTATTTTTTTGGTGTTTTGGTGTTTTTCAAACTTCTGTTTCGGTTCAGCGTTCTTATTAGCCCGGGATGGGATTTCTTGAGCTGTTTGTTGTCCTCCTGTGCTTTTTAGCTGCAAGTCCTTTCTAGCTGAATTTCTCGGGATAAAACTTGAATTCTGCCTGGTTTTATCTTAAACAAATATCACACAAACTGCTACAAATGGAAAAGCACTGCTGAGTTTGTGCTGTGAAGCGACCAGGAGGAAAGGAACAGAGGGTGGTTCTAACTCAGGGGGAAAAAAAAGAACTTTAATTCTTCTGTGATAAATTATAGGACATCAGAATAATTTCTTGTTGGGTTTTAATGCCTTTTATTCATTATCAGACTCTGTGTAGCCTGTGAATTGCTCGTCTCATCTCCTGCTGTAACCCAGGCAGCTCTTAAGCCCATCTGTTGTTTTCTTTTGAACTCTGGAAATATCTCCTTTATGCATCGAGTCTGTGACTCCTTTTCGTTCATTTTCTGCTTTTAAACGTTCAGGATTAACCATAAAAAGCAGCTGTGAGTTTATTTTCCCTTTCTAGAGCGTTGTCTTCAGGGTAAAAACGAGTTAAAAGCAAACTTGTAAGTAAAATATAAGTGGTAAGTCGAGTGATGGGTGTGTTCATCGTGGCAGTATTAAAAATTTTAGCTTAATAATAATAATAATAATAATAATAATAATAATAATAATAGCAGAGGGAGCTGCTTTTGAGAGCTATTTTTTAATTGGTCTGGAATTCTAAAAATTAGGAAATGAAAGAAACAGTGGGAGCAGAAGATCTGAAGCCAAGGGCTTCTGCTTGGCAGTAAATAAATCCACATGTTTCAGTTTAAATGGCTCATATTTGGAATATCCTTTGGGGGGTCTTTAATTCCCATAAATCACCCGAGGAAAAGTCAGGGAATCCTCTTTGTCAATGAACAGCTGGAAGTAATCTCGGAGTGACAGCTGTTAAACTGCCTCCATCCAGCCCATTCCAGGGGTGATATCCCTGCTCCTGAAGGGCAGGAATACGTCAGGATCTGTTTTCCCAGCTCCCAGAAATCCTGCTGGTGGATTAACAGCCCATAAAACGCTGTCAGGGCCGAGTCATTCTCCTGACAAGGTTTTTATTTCTCCTCTGTAGGTCAGATCTGCTCCAGAGCAGAACTTTCTGGCTTTGTGTCACCCAGGAAAAAGCACAGGATGAGAAGAAAAATCTTTGGGAAAGGGGGTATTTCCCACATATAACAAATTTTTAAAAGTCACTTTTATATTCTTGTTGAAAGCAGAAAGGGGTTTTTTTGAGCTTTTCCATAATTAATGCAAATCTGCCTTTTATCATTGATTAGAAAGAGGAAAAAGTTTAAACCTTCCTATTCCTGCTTGGATCAAACCTTTGGAAGTGTTAATATGGAATTAACTGACGATGGGATCCTATGGAATCAGTGAAGAGGAACCTGGATAATTGAGGCAAAGTCATTTAGGGTCATTCCAGCTGAAGAGAAGGAATTCCAGAGTGGAAGATTAAAAATCATGGAATGGTTTGTGTTGGGAAGGACTTTAAAGATCAATAAATTCCAAGCTCCAGCCCCAAAAACTTCTGCAGAGGTTCACATCACACAAATATTCTGGAATTACCCTGCAGGGAAAATGATAATATGAGCAAAAATAGGAATTTTTTTTCCTTTCCCACAGCCTGGCATCGAGTTGATAATTAGATCTGTAATTAGTAACACACAATAACAGTTGTTTTGTTTATTTGGAAGTCATTTGTAATTCCTTGTCTACAAAAGGAATGTTAATTAATCCTTTGATGATCTCAGTGAGTCCCTTCCAACTTTAGGATATTCTGTGATTCCCTGATTAATTTTGACACCTTTTCTGCCAACATCCCTTGGAAGTGATGCCCGGGCATGTGAGAGAAAACCTTAATAATCAGAGGAGGAAGGAAAAATTCCATCAGTAAGATTAAATTAGTATTTTAAAATAACATAGAGTTGACACATTTTGAAACTGTTTCATTGATTTTATTAATTGTTGGAGTAGATTGAACTTTTTCTCACCATGAAAGTTTTTTATGTCCTGTTTTTCCTCCCCACTCTCAGCCTGGAAAAAGCTGTTTGAACCACATTTCCCACTGATTTTTCTCTTTTATTCTGGTAAAAAAGTTGAGCACCAACTTCCTTTTGAAGGGCTGCACTTGGGGTTTACAGCTGTAGTGGCAAAACCTGTGGGAGCAGCCAGAAAGATATTTATTATATTTATTATATTTATTATATTTATTATATTTATTAATTTATTTTCCCAGCACCTACCATTGCTCCCCAGTAGTTTTATCTCGCAGCAGTGCTGCCTTCTGAATTATAAATATAATAATGCAGAATTAAAAAAAAATAATTAAATAATATTAATTTAATGATTTAATAATATACAATAATTTAATAATATATACTATAATAATATATAATATATACATTATATAATATGTATTATATTAATATACAATATACAATAATATAATAATATATAATAATTTAATAATAACATAATAATAATTTAATAGTTCAGAATAATACAATTCTGAATTTTATATACATAAATTCTATAGAAACATAATTCAGAACAATAAAATCATAAATAGAATTTTTATATTATAAATAGAAAAAATTACAAATATAAAAAAAAACAACAACTTTAAAAACAAAAAGAAAACACCTAAAATATAAAACAACTAAAAAACTAGTTTTGTCTCTCCACGTGCAGGACTTTTTGCCTCATAAATTAAGATGTTTGTTGACTCTAAATTCAAATCTCACAATTTTTCCCTTTCTTTCCTCATCCATTAACTTGGAAGTAGCAAATCTTGAAGATGCCGAGTTTTACAGTGTAACTGGTTATGGGAAATGTAATAAATTTGTGTGTCAAGCCCTAAACTATCCACAGGATTTAAACCACAAACTTTTCCAGGGGCTGAATCCATCAGGCAAAAAAAATTCCAGTCGTGCTGTCACTGTCCTGTTTTCTGGAATGTGGATGGGGTTGGGAAGGGATCCAAAAAAATCTTAAGGAGCTGGACAACAAATTTCCAGCGACACATTTATGGAACAAAGCAAAGCACAGCTGAGAAAAGGAGGAGATAAATGTGTTTTCCCGGCTCTGAAGTCATCGTAGGATTTTACAGCTCGTGAGCAGAATAAAAGGGAGGAGGTTTAATCCGTGAAGAGATAAGGATGAATTTTGCATTGAGATGAAACAGCGCTTTTAACTCCAAATACTTTGTCACAGCATAATTTGCTGTGTGTGTCTTTGCACCCAGCAACTCTTCGAATTCAAAGGCTTTTCAGAATTGCTTTAAAAGTGCTCTGTTAATGTGCAAATGCTGCAACTCACAGCTCTGGGTAACAGCAAATGAACCCAATTATGATAATTCTCCTGCAGCTTCAGCACTTTTCGCTCTGCGTGTTTATCATTTTGTGTTCAGTGGGTGCCACAAAGAGCAGAAAGCAAAGTCTGTCCACCCACTTTCATCTCTCTCGAGCAAAGGAGTGAATTGAATTAAAGCATCATTCACCACAGTGCACTGAACTATATCACGTATCCCAAATTCAGGGGAGAAACT